ACCATGAAATATGTACTATGTATAATAGTAAAATACCAAACTATCAAGTGATTTTACTATTGTAAATCATCATGTGATTTTGAGCTAAAAATGACATAGAAATCACATAGCTCAAAAACATGTTTCAATAAATAACCATCCGCATTTAGTTGACCTTGCTTACGTGATCATCTCGGTGAGCATTTCTCCACCGGACGGCACTGCATTTCTTGGCCAAGGAAGAGCTCCGATTCTACGAGAAAGGGAACACGGTCTTCCACGACCATTGCCGCCTCCCTCAGAGAATCAAAGCTCCTCCTTGACGTCTGCTATCGCTTCGGCAGAGAAAATGCTCACCGAGATGATCACGGTCCGCAAGTTCAACTAGTACGGATTTTCTATAATTTTCTAACTATTTTCTAAGTTTTTCATTTCATGGAAAAATTAATTCTAAGATCACGTAAGTCAGCCGGGGACAAGGATGGCGCGTGCTCCAATGAGGACGAAAGCGAGGCGTGATTTTGATGAACTAATTTAACTTTTGTTTATCCAAACATATATGCAAATCATCATGTGATTTTGAGCTAAAATGACATATAAAATCATAATAAAGTCCAACATATAAAGTTACACATGCATCTACATCGCAAAATGAGATAAGCTACCGATAAAACATAAGAGGATTAAGTTTGTTACCTCCAAAATCAAGAGCAACACCAATGGAGGGGAGAGAGCAAGAACAACAAGCAAGTCAAGAACAGAGGCAAGTGAGTTTGAATGGAATGGCTCGGGCTCGGAGAGGAAGAAATGAGCCGTTGTATAGGTTCAAGATAATTAGTCCCTGTTAGGTGGCCAAACCGAGACTAAAGATTAATATTTATTTCGGGTATCACCCAAACGGGACTAAAACCTTTCGTCCGGTTAGTATTACCAACCGGGACTAAAGGTTTACCTTTGATCCCTGCCACTCGGACGATCGTTGGGCAGGGACCTTTAGTCCCGGTTGGATTATTTAACCGACTAAATGGTCCTTTAGTCCCGGCGGCAAAAAATGTCGAGGCTAATGCCAAATTGGGGAATCGTTCTAAAGTCTGTTCTCTAGTAGTGGCTAGATGTACGCCACTGTGAAAAATAAATTTTTGTTGACACTTTTCATTTGTAGACAGGCACATGGTAACTTGTACCATCTATGAGAATTCCTAAGGCTCCAAGACCACAGCCCATCTCTCAGAAAAATTATTTTCAGTTCATAGGCGGTTGACTTAAAACAGACACCTCTATAAATCATACTGTTTCTCGCCAAAGGCATTTGCCTATGTACGCCACCTCAAGAAATAGATTAAAATCCTATTTAAGCAAGGTGCTAGGGAACCATTAGGTCAAATCATCCCATACACTCCAGTCTCCACTCTTTATCCCTTATCATCATCCACTACGGGATATAGTAGCTTTGCCGAGTGCCAGGGGCACTGGGCAAAGGCTTAAAAACACTCGACAAATGCTTCGCCGAGTGTAACACTCGGCATATAACACACGGCATTAATTTGTCGGCAAACAGTAGTTTGCTGAGTGTTTTTTATCACGCACTCGGCAACTAGTTTGCCGAGTGTCAATAAACACTCGGCAAAAAAAAACTCTCGGCAAAAAACGTTAACAGGATCGCACGGTGACGGCGATTTTGCCGAGTGAACGACGGAAAAACACTTGGCAAAGTTTCTCACGTTTGCCGAGTGTCGGGACAAAAACACTCGGCAAAGTTGGGTTTTGCCGAGTGTCAGAGGTTTACCGAAAAGTGCCAATAAAAACACTCGGCAACAACATCATTTTGCCGAGTGTCAAAAACAACACTCGGTAAAATATCAGTTTGCCGAAGTGTCAATAAAAACATTCGCAAACCTTGGCTTTGCTTTGAGTGTCTCTAACGGACACTCGGTAAAGTTATAACGGCAGGGCGGCGCACCTAACGGCCGTCACATGGCCGCCAGACGCCCAGCGCGACGCGGCAACTACTTTGCCGAAAGTGTCCGTGTTTGCCAAGTGTTTTTTATTAGACACTCGGCAAAGTTGGGTTTTGCCGAGTGCTGTAGGTTTGCCGAGTGTTACATTAAAAACACTCGGTAAATCGGATGTTTGCTGAGTGTCCGATGGAATACACTCGGCAAACCGTCAGGCACTCCGCAATTCTATTGTTTCCGGTAGTGATCTGTTGTTACTCACACCGTAACATTTCGTATTTTTATGCAATTCATTAAAAATTTTGCTTCATCGTGTGTTGCGTGTTAGGTTGAACATAAGACAATCTCTTCCCTTCTCTCTGTACTTTCAAAGTTCCAACTTAAAAACTTCTACAAATACAACCCTCTTGTCATGATGTTGCAGCAGCTCCTCCGTCACGCCTAGAAGCACCCCCTCACGCCTCAGCATCGCAGCCGCAGGGAGCACCGCGTTGAGCTACGCTGTGAGGGCGGAGCCACAATGTCTAGCGCATCAGCCCCGTGTTCTGCCTTGCCCCAGCTCAACGACAACCGGTGCAGACTGCGCCTGGCGACCGTGCCCACGACGTCGCCATGCCACCAACCGATCTCCCGGCTGCTTTCCTCTGCCAAGACCCTTACTACATTGTGCACACCGTCGACGTCGCACACACGATGTGCACGCCGCAAGGATGCATACCACGAGGGTGTCCGTCCTACCCCATGTAACAGTCACGATTAGAAGGCCTCTACCACTGTATGTTTTCCCGAGCTGTGCTGCCGCCCTGACTCATGATTGCCAAGCACGGAGACTAGCATGATTGCAGCCCCGTGTCGTCAAGGGGGCAGAGCGCGCGCCTCCACACCGTCATCTCCCACCTCGCGCCACCACCGCCTCATCACGGTCACAGCGTCAAGCCAGCACAACCTCGTCTCCTCCGTGCATTGTGCGAACCACCGTCGTCAAGCCCTTCAATGAGCATGACAGTTTGCCAAACCTCTCTGTTTTCCAAGATGTGTTCGCGACTTAATTGCCTGTGACCTGGCTTTCGAGCCACGGGAGCGCCCCGGTGACAAGCTCGCCGCCGTCGTGCGCCTTTGCCTTGTGCCTCTAGCTTGCAGGGGGGTACAGTGCCCTGGTGGTCGTGTTGTGCCGTGTGCTCGCTGGGCTGCTCCCTGCTCAGCGCAGATGTGCGTGCTGACAGCTCGCTAGGCAGTTTGAGCTCTAGCGAGCCTGGTGCCCAATGCAGAAGTGGCGGTGCCTGATGCGGATTAGTTCATCATTGTTATCTCATTCCCTACAGTCACACGGGTTGCGACATCAACCAACTCATGGTTGCGACAATTCTTGCATCATCACGACCAACACTACGAATTACAAGGCTCAATGCCACAACACTAAAATCACCGATCATTCACTTCCTAGACATCGACCTTGTTATGTCGAACGCCCAATTGTGCCAGCTGTCTTCACATTAACGCTGATACTATGTTCGGCAGGACCAGCTGATTCTAGTGCGTTCATCGTGTTCTCGTTTTTGCATGCCAGAAGGTCTCATGTGCGATAATAGTCGAGAGTTCACAAGTGTTTTCATCACAATGGCCATCATGGTCACCTGGCAGTCCCGTACTCCAAGCTTCTAGGGCTCTACCAGGCTACAACACAGATTCGCCAACTAATAGCGTCTGTGGAATCTGCAGCAATTCAGTGATCGCAGTGAACACGGTGATAGCACTCCATTTGCCATCAGCGAACTAAATTCCTGATGCCTCATATCCTTAGAATGGACTCTATCTGGTGCATGACTGGGGAGACTAAGATTCAGATCACCAGTGCTACCGCTGCTGAAAGCCACACTATATTCGTGCAGGATGCCACACCATGCGTTGGCCAAATAGATGTGACTTGGGGAGTTTCTCAGTCTAACATGGGTATATATTGAGCAGAAGTGAAGACCGGTTGAGATAAATAGGAGACCATGGGCTCACCCATGTGGACATTTATTTGCTGCTAAGCTTACTACACCGACTGCATCTGTGCTAGCAATTATATCTTTTTTCCGCATAATGAAGCTTTCAGTAGTTTTTTTTTAAAGAAGATTACATCGAGATGATAAAAATACCGGCAACAATCTCTGCTTAACACGAAGCACACATCCAAATTAAAAAATGGTGAACACACACATTCTTTAGAAATAGACTTCCGGCGACCTTGTATCGTCTCAATGTAATGTGATTAATATTTAAAAAATTCTAAATATGGTCCACTACTGCTACAAAGCCTAAATATTGTTTTATAGCAATAACATTCGCACAAAGCCTAAATATGGTCCACTACTGCTACCAAAACTGAATAATGTTGTGTGCTTCTTGATAAGATCTGACTACAGTGCCCAAGTATCACTAGAATTTCATATATAAGAAATATATGCATTGGGAACTTAAAGTTCATTGCATTGCACGATCAGAGAGAACAATGATTAGCATAGGACATGATAGCACAGCGAGGTAAGTTTATTTGGCCCATTCATCAATTTTCTTCCCTGTCGCTTTTACCGGAGCAATAATTGCCAGTTTGGGGACGGTTCTGAAGAGTTTCCAACTTATAAATTATAATCGAATTCAGGAAGGAAGAAACCTAGCTAGCTCGTTTTAATTTCTTGCCAAAGCGAACATTGCCGGTCTTGATTTTGGGAGATTGAGTAAAGGACACTTCTCTGAAATGTTGGTGCAAATCATACAACCAAGATTAGCCATACAATTGGATCTATATACGCCACATGGTGTCCCTATTACACACTTCCTTCCTTCTGTTGAGAACGAATCTGCTGATGCCTCGGCCCTTCTGGTCTCGTCGTGCAGTTTTGTCTCCTCCCTGGCCGGAGCAGGCCCATGCACGCGTCCTGCAGACTTGTCTCGTCCCAGCTGTTCAAGTGTTAACACTGGCGAGGCGCACACGGGTTCCAGCCTTGATCCGATGGAGAACAAGAAATCCCAAACCACAATACTTTGTGTGCACCCATCCTATATGAACCATGCAAATCTGATTTAGTATTCGTGCTCAACAAAATCAGCTTGCTCCAAAATTCGTGCTGCTTCAGGGATTCCATGGGGAGTTGAACAGCACTGACCTTAACGCAATGAGGACAACAAGGTAGAGCACCGGGGCACATACAGCTCTGGCAGAAATGGTTTAAAAGGAGCACCCCATCCACCGCGCATGCCTCAGCCATCATGTCAACCTGTGTGGCAGCCAACATGTCCCTAACCTTGCCTTGTCCGTAGATGGCACCGACACTATGGATGATTGAATTGAGGAAGCATAGTGGCTGCCAACATGTCCCTAGCAAGAGAAATCAATTGCTAGCTTCATGGAATACCATCTATGCAAAATGTACTGGCAGAATAGAGAGGACAGATGAGCGATTGCACCCTATCGAACAAGGCACACCTATTTCCAGATGCTTCCCATACTTAGAATGGACACTACATGCACGACCAGAGAGTGCGATGCTAAGAGATATCTGAACCACAAACATGCATGCTAGGAATGGTAGATAAGAATCCATGGAGCGAACATGATAGGAACATAGTGGTTGTGGATGACAATTTCATTTATCTAACAATGACATATATGGGAAACTATATATGGAGACCCACGAATATTGCACATTTATGTGCTAATAAATTCTGGTGGTACACTATGAAGTTATATTGGTTGTTTCAATATTATTGTCACTTGATCTCATATCTCCTGATATATTTATTACTAAATGCATCATACAATTAAGTTTCCAACAACTAGATCTTTTGTGGAAGCCAAGGTGTAGATTTTAGTTTATGTAGAAATAATCAAACTGAGACTTCACCATTTACATAAATGGTCCTTTTAAAACAAGCACCTCTAAAAATTGATTTTCAGATATGGATGGTTGCATAGCCCACCCTATTTTGGATCGGATGTCCAAAGCCCATTGAAGCACAACACAAGAAGGCAAGCGCATGGCGCGGAGGAGATGCGCCAGCGGCCACGTGGGCATGGGGGAGCAGGGCCAGCCGACGGGCGCATGGCACGGAGGAGATGCGCTAGTGGCCGCGTGGGTGTTGGGGACCAGGCCCGACAGAGCAGGGTCAGCTGGCAAACGCATGGCGCGGAGGAGATGCGCCAGCGGCAGCGTGGGAGTTGGGAGCTGGGCCGACTGAGCAGGGGCTGCCGGCATGCACATGGCGCGGAGGAGATGCTCCAGCGGCTGCACGGGCATAGGGATGCAGGGCCGACCGGCGGGCGCACGACACGGAGGAGATGCTCCAGCGGCCGCATGGGTGTGGGGGAGTAGGGCCGCCCGGCGGCCGCAAGGTGCGAAGGAGATGCGCCCTCGGCCACGTGGGCGTGGGGGAGCATGGCCGATGGAGCAGGGCTAGCCGCACGGGGACGAGAAGGGGCAGCCGCGCGGGGACGAGTAGAGGATGACCCATGGAAGAAAAAGGGATGAGAGGATGTTGTATGTGCAGTACCCACGTATCATGAATCTTAACCTACATCCTGTTTATCCCAACGAAACAGAAAACATGGGAGAACCCCGTCCCATAACCAAATACGAGATGGGTTCAACCCCCACTTCTCCATCTATTGCCACCCCTAGTTTGCCCTCGACAACCCTTTCTACCTATAGCAACCACCACACTTCTCTCCCTAAGCATTGATGCCACCCCACCTTGGCCCCTTCTGCATTGGATCCGAGGTCACCCACCCTAGTCACTTCTCCGCTGAGTTCGAGGTTGCCCACCCTAGTCCATTCTACGTTCAATTCAAGCTGTGGTTGGGTGGGATCTGAGGTGGGCCATTGGGATCCGGAGCGGCCTGGATTTGGGTGGAGCGGCGGTCAATTAGCAGCTAATTGCCTCCACACCTGTGGTGGCACCAACGACCTCCACAGGGGCGGGGGCGAGTGTGCCGTTAAGATCTGGAGCGGTCGAACACCGTGTCGCGTCGCATGAGTTTGTCAACCAAGTCAGTGCAGACCAAACCTCCAACCAACTTATTCATGGTTCATTCATTCAATCTGATTTGGTGAATGCTGCACCGGTGCATACAGACATCGATGGGGTATCGAACCCTACAGAAAGGACATGTGTAAGATAGAGTGGCAGAGATAGGAGGAGATGAAGACTAAGGAAGCGCTCAGCTTGTTGGAGCATAGAGGCGGAGGCAGACACTGCTAGAGAAGTGCGTACAGGGTGGATCCTACTGGCGGTGCTGATTTCTTTTCCATTTTACATAGGCGGACACTCATCCCACCTCTTAAAATAGCAATTAAAAGAGATCATGGCCTTGGCGCCTCTGTATATAGTTTTTTACCATCTATGGAAATCCTTCCGCACAAAATCCATGTTGTAGTAGTGATAGCACAATGCCTCTGCTAGACAAAAATAAAGAAACCTTCCACGCTGAGAGAATTATGCTTATATTGGAATAATTCTGCTTATATTGGAATACATTACACGGATTCAATGCAAGAATGATCTATTTATTTCGTTGTTTTCACATCAAACATGCATAACACTTGATGGAGGCAGGCTACTAATAACCAGAAGTACACAATGGCGCCACCTGAATTTATTTATTCATTTTATTCATTTTACTACTCGGTAGCTTTCGTCAGCAACATCTCATGTTTACATAAAGCTTTGCTCCGGTTAGCACTCGATCAATTACAAATTCATAACAATCTCTAGTCCAGCCTTTCATTTTCACAAGAGACACATAATTAAGACCACCTTTTGCTCAGTAGTTTTGAAACGGTTAAGTCTGTGTTCCCTGAATCCATCCATAACGGCCTTTGCAGAGTGAAATTCTGCTCTTGCAGTAAAGCTGGAAGACATGAATTTTATAAACAACAAGCATCGGGATCATGGTTGAGATAAGAAAGTTACATGGCAGACAAAGGCAGCTTACCTGCTTCGAACAACTATGCATGGCATGCCAATGCGTTCAGCTGCAAGGACACCAGATTGGCTGCCCGCAACAAGAACACAATTTTGCACGTCACACCCAACATATTCAGAACCAGTTCGGAGAGCTGCTATTACCTTTTCTGAGCTGATAACGGTGACAAGGTCAAAATTAGACAATATTCTTCTAAGGACGTATGGAAATTATGCACAATCAGTGTTAGGAACAACCTTTCGGATGCTGTGATGTCAACACTGAGTTTTAGGATTGATGCAACCTCTTCTGCAATCCTCTGCTTCTCTGCAGAAGCTGTGGGAACAGAATATTTGGAATTAACAACAAAATGACCATTGAACTCAAAGCAAAAACTACATAGAAGAGGCTGCAACCTTTTCAATCAGTAATACTCACCAGCCTTTTGGGCTTCCCTGACAAGTTGCTCATCCACACCAGATGTGACTCCTTTACCAAGAACAAGTTGCCCATAAAAGCTTTCTTCAACCTCAACTTTTCCAACAATCTTTATTTTCGAGATTCTTTCAGGGCCCAGCTTCATAGCTATAGATCTTGAGTCAAATAGAAAAGAAATGAGAACACAGTATTTTTTATACCATCTACCCTTAGGAACAATAGCAGTATGTTAAACTTGATAGAATAACATTGGCACATTAGTTTGAAACAAATTACAAGAGCAGATAGTAGTTACATTTAATATAAACCACACGTCCATACCTTGAAATCTTTTCTCCATTTCTCCCATATGCAGCCAATATGGCCAAAGGGACACCCTCACTAAGTGCATCATCAATGAACCTTTAATGATTTCATTCACAGAATCAGACACAAGGCCATTTAAAGTTCAGGACAGAGTCATTGATATCTTTATGGCAAGCAAAGAGTACAGAATAGAGACAAAAGCTGTACATATGAATACATAAGATCAAAACATAATTGGCTTATAATGATCTTGGATTGATGCAATCATGCAGAATTGATATCAGAACACACAAAAACTTTTATCGATATGCTGTGACTTCTGTTCCTTCATCCAGATAACAAAGACCCCACATAGCCACACATGCACAATCAGTAAAACGGCTCTGTAATTCTTGCAAATTTTTTTATGCATCGGAACAAAGAACTTTATACTGCATATTACAGGTATATTCAGATTATCCCGAGAACATCCTATACATAATAGCAAAAACTCTCCTGGATCATCTATATAGAGAGATTTTTTTTACATAAAGTGATAACAGGAGCTTGATATCTTACGTTTCAACTCCAGGCCGTGAGTGGTAAGCTATCAGAAGCTGAGAACTCTTCCAAAGCTTTCAACTAGAACAAGAACGTTGCTCCAAGAAGTTAATATAAAGATATTTATAATGGAAACAGGTCAAAGAGAACCACTAGTCCATTTGGATGTAAATGGTAAATTCATGCTCTTGATTAGTCAAGTTGATTGAAATCATAGTCAAAATCAGAAATTAGTTCCAAGTACTAGTGGATAAAAGCAAGGAGAGAAACTAGTGCATACAACAGGAATTAAGTAAAGTAATCCAGCTTTCAGGTTACATCCAAAGGAATCATGCATGGACAATGTGCACGACATGAAAAATGAGAACCCTTGCTGAATACAATTGGCACATATAAAAGTTTGGTGAAATCCAGAGTCTGGTGATGATGAAAAGGATAAAAAACAGTACCAGACTACCAGCCTGGTAACAGCTCAAGCTAAATTGTGCCAAGGCCAGATATATTATATAGAAGCGAACTTATGTTTGATGAAATATGAGCTTACCTTCTCACGGAGAACACTTTTTATAAATGACCCTTTCTCACTAGTTGGCAATGATGTAGGCCAGCCAATCTGTGTTGAGTCAGAGGAAGGGGTGAAACTCCAAAAACGCAAACTACCTTCTACCAGCAGAGGAAATTAAGAGTCTCCACAAAGCTATGTTAACAAGTACCTAATCCATCCCAAATTGTAAGACGTTTGACTTTTTTGACACCAAGTTTGACCACTCGTCTTATTCAAAAATTTGTGTAAAATATCACTTCTTTCGTCGTGGTTTGGTTTATTAATAAAAATTCTTCAAGAATGACTTAAATTTGACTATATTTGCACAAATTTTTTGAATAACACGAGTGGTCAAACTTGGGGCCAAAAAAGTCAAACGTCTTACAATTTGGGATGGAGGGAGTAGTTTGTTACTCCCTCCGGTTCTCTAAAGCAAGTCGTTTTGGACATCGACACGGTCTTTAAGAAACGACTTTGACTGCAACTTTTTGCTATAAAATATTTATAAAATATAGTCAATATATACTTTTATGAAACTACATTTCGAGATGAATCTACTTACATCACTTTCATATTTTCAAACTCAACCCAAAAGAAGTTATTTGTAGTCAAAGTTTAAAATGTTTGACTTAAGACAACCTCAAAACGACTTGCTTTAGAGAACCTGAGGGAGTACGTAATAAAGCTGAATTGCGGTGTCATGTAACCAGATTTGCTAATTCTTCCTTGACCAAAGATGGCAATAGGGCAAGAAACAGAGCATACCCTGTCAAAGAATAATGCCAGCATCCTTTCCTCATCACCACGAGCTTTCCTAGAAAACAATGCAGCTTTAGAAAAATAACAAACATAAAGAGAAAAGGAAACACGCATCCAGTCCAGTTCATACTATTAGAGGTTAAACATAAGGGAACAAAATAGCAAGGGCCCATGTTTCAATCCATAATGCCAATTGTTAACTCAACGTTGAAGGAGAGGCAGGACATGTGATGCTCAAGTTTGATAAGGATAAAGAATTCAATATGCACCTCACCAAATCAGCATATATTGGCTCTGTCCAATTTGCACAATCTAGCCCGAGGCTTCGAAATGCTGGTGAAAAAACAAGTTAAAACGTATTAAAATCAACAGGCAATAACGATTCATACTTGTGCAGGTAGACTTGTACCTTGCTAGAGGCTAGACCCCTACATCGTTTATGTACAGAATTTACTATTTTACATTTCAACCTTGGCATGGTATCCATATTGGAGTAAAATACAGTGCAATAGAAATTGGTAAGGGGTGATGAACAGAAGTATATTTTTGTGTTTCGCACCTACATTGAAAGCTTGGCGAGAAATTGGTAAGGGGTGACGAACAGAAGTATATTTCTGTGTTTCGCACCTACATTGAAAGCTTGGCGATTGCCGAAACGGTAGACATCCGCAAGAACTCTGGTGGAACAGAAACAAGAAATACTCAATCAGAAACAGAGATTGTTCTGGGATCAGCAAAGCAGAGGAGTCTGAGAGAAAGAAAACATGTCACTATTCTCTATTCCACAATAGTTCAGAAAAGCTTAGTAGTATTTGTTCAACAACGAAAGCATGGTGCGGCTATTACAAATAATCAATGGAGAAAGCGTTCGCAAAGAAATAATCAGATACTACCACATCGCTTGACTGTGGCACTTGTCTGCACCAATTATCTCTGAGCAAACCCAATTCCATCCACTTTCAACATTTGTCTGCATACAGCAGTTCCAATTTGAAATTTTCTAATCCCCGTGGCCAGATGGGCAGTAGCAGAAACAGCTCTACCTTCAACAACTAGCATACTAAAGAAGCAGAAAAGGAGCTCCTTTTGGGATAAGACAATAAATCGACGAACTAAGCGCTAGAAAGACAGGATTTTTAAGGGCCTCACCCTTCCACCTCCAGAAGCAAGCCAAGATCCGGCGGGGCAGTGTTCTCCGGAGACGAGGAGGAGCACCGGAGCGGCGGCGCCGGGAGCCGGCGGCCGCGTCCCGCGGCGACGGCGGCGCGGGAGGAGAGCAGATGCAGTGGCGGCCGAGGAGGTGGGGATGGAGGCGGGGGCCTTCGCGGTCTCCGGCGGGGACGCCCGGTGCGGGACGCACCGAGCGGCAGCTGCAGCAGCGGCGGCAGTCATGACGCGCGAGACCGAGCAGACGGTGGGCGTGTGGACCGGCGGCGGCGAGCTATCCCCCGCCGATGGGAGAGGACAGGGACAGTGATGATTGGTTTGTCCACCACCTGGGTGGATGGTTGGGTGGGCCCACAGGAACATAGTGGTTAAGCTAATCACCGTTGATGTTCATGTTGATGTTGATGGGTTCTGGCTTTCGGTTCTGAATGAAAACTAATTTTACGGCCTGCACCGTATCTAGCCCATTTCTTTGGTCCGGTACATCCTCCCTTCCTCCTCTCATTTTCCTTGAGAATATTTTTTCAGCTTTTTAAGATACGAGATTATATATCCATATTTCAATTGGCTCCTCAGTCTGTCCTGAAAAATACATATCTCTTTTTTAAGAAGTTAATTAATTTCAAATTTAATAACCAATTATATAAAAATATACTAATATTTATGATGCTGAACAAATATCATTATATTAAGTACGAAATATATTTTTATATTAAATTTATTTAGAGATATAAATATTGATGTTTTTCCCTACAAATATCAAATTTAATTTTTTTGACCGCTCTGAAAAAGAGATGTTCATTTTTTTATGGAGGTAGTATATATGGAATAGAGAAATTTTAGACCATGAAACAACAGCAGCTTAAAGTCACTGCAATTAAACTATTATATCTCGTTTGATTTATCTAGATCAAATGCGGGTAAATTGGACAATTAGGATGGAGCTTAAACTTAGAAAATTGACTAGTATTTTATTAAATTAAAAACAAAGAAAATTGTAAAGACCCAACTCCAAGCTGGCTAAGGATAACGTACTCATATTCATCTATATCTCACTTTGTTCAATACCCCATGTCTACTGGCCCACCTGAGTTGTTTACTAGGTTCACATGGTTTTATTGGTTCCTAGTAAGCTTTTCCTATAGTTTTATCATAGTTTAGCATGTTGATTTTTGAGACCAGCCCCATTTTCCTCAACTTTTCTTACCATTACCATCCTTGCCTATGTGGTTCTCATATTTGAATGAGCTTTTATACGATTATTTGTACATGGGGCATCTCTATTACCATCTCATGCTACATGGGATGAGTAGACAACCAAATATTGATGCCAATAAACAATTATATTTTTGTAAAGAAAAGAGCATGGGGGAAGGAAGACACATAAACGTTGCATATGCAAACTACTAAGTATGTGAGATGTAACTACGCATTTGAAACTACGAGAGAAACAACCTTTACAAAACCGCATGTCCTCAATTTGTTGTCACTAGTGTCGATATCTAGTGGTTCAATGGCCATAACACTAGACCAAAGGGCTAGAGGTAGAAATGGTTGTGATGCTACTAATCATAACTGGTTCATGCTATATAAAACCATTGTGATACCTTGGAAGACATCACAGCCAGTTTGTAACACAAATACGTTGTGAAGGGCCACATACAACACAACTGTTAAGTATTCAAAATCTTTTGTAACCTATGTGCACGATCGAACTAATTGGTGGTTCCAACCATTTGTGGAAAGTATATTTAATATTTCAGGATAATTTAAGACCTAGTTTTCCAAATAATACATTGGAAATAAATTGTTGTTTTGTTGATTTTGTAATAATTTGCTTTACAACTTTAGACTTTAGGATTGATCACTTGTTCCACTTCAAAGATAGTCCCAAGCTTCACTTTCTCTGTAGAAAACCTAGTGTTTGTATGTTTTGTAGCGTTTGTCCTGGTTGATTGAAAGTTGAACTTATCATGTTGAGATGTAGAGAATACTTGGTACTATCGCTATTTCATATGGCTAATTCTGAATATATTAATTCCATCCCAATAAATAGAAGACCAAATGAGTAAACATGAGTTAGGATTTAGTCTTTGGATAATTAGTGACTATGTCAATTCCAACACGAGAAGGTCTCTTTGACATTAATGTCTCTTTAAACATGCTTGTGAGCGGAAGAAAGTGGTATAAAAACACATTTTACTATCTGGTATGGAGAAGCAACTTGCATGGTAACTTTTGAGAAAAATATGGAAATATGTAAACTAACTATAAAGACACTTGCAACATATGCGCATTACTTTGTGCATTACCTCTCATAGTTTTGGATAAAAGTGCTTCAAGAGCAAGAACAAGATGTAACATCAATTAGTGAGTGGATTGCACAAATGAATGATGCCTTTTTAGGTTGGATTAGTAAGTAACACATTGATAACCCATAGCTTTCCATCAATAAATTTTAACTCAAGCCTTGGAACAGCAAGGGTAGTGCTCATTTTATTGTAGCTAGATCATAGCAAAGGGGAGCAGGCTATCATCCATGGACTAATTTGTCCACCATTTTTGCATAATCTATGGTAGATGTGTCCTTGTTCGGTGAAGTAAAGTTGAGCATACCGACTTTATATGGATAATGTGCTAGGATCTTAAACTGCAGATGTACAATATGCAGAGTATATCGCCAAGACTTAGTCAAGTGTAGTGTTTGGACTTAATTTTAGGTTCTGTAAAACACCATTTATTATATTTATAGTAAAGTATGTCAACATGATGTAAAGTAAAACAATTATGCAGAGGTTTGTTTCTTGTTCGACAAGAGGATGTTACGTACTCTACATGTTTTTTTCTGCAAACTGGCTATGAGCCTATGGGTCTCCACCACCCTCTCCACTTCAACAAATTAAACTAAATTATTACTTGAATTAGTCATTTTGAATGCCGCTAGTACCATTTGTGGAGCTATAGTGGCTACAAAGTCGCATTGGAAAGTGATTTATTCCCGATTCATAACACCAACTAGGTGTGAAGCTCATAGTTTCATCCGATTCTTAGCAAGAATAAGAAGTAATAATAATTACTTTAACCTCAATTAAAAACCGAGCATGTCATTCCTTGTACCACATCGGCATGGTTACTACGCGAATAGAATCTGGTTCCAAAGGGGGTTATAAGCCAGTTGTAATGATCATTTCTCCAACAGTACCAATAGTATTTCACTACTACAGAATTTAACTGTAGGGGCGGCTCTAGAGCCTCTGTAGGGGCGGCTATGCCAACCGCCCTTCCCAGGGTGTTCCTACAGAGGGTGCCTCTGTAGGGGCGGTTTCCTGGCCGCCCTTGCAGTTCCTCTGTCAGAGGGGCGGTGTTTCAAAGCACTGCCCTGCACACTCAGAGAGGCGGTGGTGTTTTCAACCGCCTGTTAGAAGTGCCTCTATAGGGGCGGCTTGTGTTTTCAGCCGCCTCTACAAGGATTCTGTGGGGCGGTGGTAATATCAGCCGCCCGTAGTGGACTTTCTTCAGAAGTATGGCTGATCACCACCGCCCTGGTAGTGTATTTGTAAGGGCGGTTCAATCAAGAACCGCCCCTACAGTGGATTTTCAGGCAAAAAAAAATAAATAATTCAAATTCAAATCTGACCATATATATATATAATTCAAATTCGAATCTGGCCGCCACAAATATACATATATACATCCACAAACACAAGACCATTAATTAGAACATCATCACAAGTCATAATTCACAAAAGTCCATCATTACAACATAGTCCATTATGAAGTCAATCATTATAACATAGTCCATTAAGAAATCCATAAGTCCACGTGCAAAACAAAGTCCAAACCGTTCCAAAGTCTGATCCAAACCATACCATAAGTCCACATTGTCATCAACGGCCTAGGGCTAGCCTATCAGTCTCACGAAGGTGTTGGTATAGAGGATTACTACCTAAGTCGGAAAGAAGATGATGGTAAGTGCCTTTATGGTACACAATCTGGTCCATTATAAAGTTGCAAAGGTCGCCGACCATCTCTAAGAGCTCGTCATCCTTGTATGGGTTCCTTCTCGTGTCTTTATCTTTCTCCAACTACAAGAGAACAAGTTTAGGTTTACTATATCACAACATATGCGAATTTTTCATACTACGAGCGAAGAGGTTCAAACTTACCAGATTGGGATTTCTATTGTAGCCACCGATGGTACTCATCATAATACATGTGTAGTATCCACAATGTCGACTCCCAGGCTTCTGCTTGGGGCACTGTGTGTTTTGCATATGGAGACGTTAAGTAATACTATTGACAGACACGTAATATATGGAGTACCAAAGTAAATGACACTTACCGCACATAGAGTTTTGACATACAACTTTTCCTTCCTATTTGGATGATGCCTCCCCTTATGTTCCTGGACATAGTGCCTGAATGCCATGTTCCAATGGTTTTAGCAAATGCAACTTGTTAGTATCCCACATTGAACCTTACAAGTATGTATACAAACATAGTAGCTAAAATAAGGATTGTCGATATGTATACGTCTTGACAATCGCTATGAAGTCTTTGTATGTCTCGATTGGGAATCCATTGAATCAAAGACCCATGCCATGCTATGTGAGCAGACGCCTATGCAAATCCAAAGTTGATCATTTGCATGAATTTAGTCATAGAAAGAACACATAAGCTCTTTTGCATCGAACAAAGTATATTGAACAAAGCTAAGTATACAGTCGAACTTACTTGAAGTGGTATGGTATCCATATATTATCGTGTTGTTGGAGATTTTTAAAACATAGGGCAATGTATGCCGCAACCTTGAGGGACTCTTCCAATATTTTCTTGTTCCCGATATCCTCTTTTTCCTTAAGTGTCTTTCCACCTCCTAGTTCTTTGCAATCTAGTTTCCACTCTTTAGGTAATTAAAATTTGTTGATGCTATAGGTGAAGGGTCTATATACCCGTGTTTCAGAGCTGGCCTCTTTCTCACAAAGTCCGCTTGCATTCTATAAATCACAGGCGTGGGTTAGTTACAACAAAATCAAAAGATTACATTCATATCATATAGAGAGGGCAAGGACTTACAGGCACCACATGCGAATTAGATTCATTTCCATTCGTCCGAGGTGAAAGCATGCCTGGATATCCTTAAACTCAACGGCAATTTGCCCACCTGGGGCTCCAAATGTGCCAGCAGGGATCCATGCTTGTAAGATTTCTAATTCTGTTATCTG